CCAGCCCTGGTTGCACATTTCCTCTTCTTTCTGTTTGTTTTTGTCAGCGGTTCAGCGAGGAAGAATGCCTCCAACCCAACCGAACCCAGGCCAGTATGCTCTGACGAATGGTGACCCCCTGAACGGCCATTGCTATCTGTCGGGATACATCTCTCTCCTTCTGCGGGCTGAGCCCTACCCCACCTCCCGCTATGGCAGCCAATGCATGCAACCTAACAACATCATGGGCATTGAGAACATCTGCGAGCTGGCGGCCCGGTTACTGTTCAGTGCTGTGGAATGGGCCAGGAACATCCCTTTTTTCCCAGACCTTCAGATCACCGACCAGGTGTCTCTTCTCCGGCTGACTTGGAGTGAGCTGTTTGTGCTGAATGCAGCCCAGTGCTCCATGCCCCTCCATGTGGCCCCTCTCCTGGCCGCCGCTGGCCTCCATGCCTCCCCAATGTCGGCCGACAGAGTGGTGGCCTTTATGGACCACATCCGTATCTTTCAGGAGCAGGTGGAGAAGCTCAAGGCCTTGCACGTAGACTCTGCCGAATACAGCTGCCTCAAAGCCATCGTCCTGTTCACATCAGGTGAGTAGAGAACCCTTGGCTGGTGGTGAGGGGGGGGGGCAGTACACACACATACATATTGTACATCACTCCATCCCATGTTGGCTGCAGTCATATCCCAGCTGGGATGTTTCCTCAGCCATATCTCACCCCCACAAGAGAGGGATTCCTCTGCCATCACAGGGGATGTGATGCACTATAGGGTGAATGGTGCCAACATTAATGAAGCGTTGTGCTGTCACTCTATGAGATTGAATGGGACTCCACTCACCATCCAGGAGGCCGTGTATGTGTGTATGTCTGTGTCTATAAAGAAGCTCCATCTAGATATTAATGGGAAAGCTACACGTTTTCAAACACAGATATTATTGTTCCCTTTTTCTAAAGAACCCCCTCCACCGAATTGTGATAGTGTGATTCAGATCATTTCTGATATATAAAGGCAGTAGAGAGAAAAAAACCACACAGCACAATTTCCAGTTATAAATCATTTTGCTATGGAAACCATACTCCTATTAAATATTTAACAGATTGTCTGAAAATACAGCAAATTGAGAGCAGGCACTGACTCCATGCATGCATACATGTACAGATTTTTTTTTTATTATTATTATTTTCACTAGGTAGATTTAAAAAAAAAAGCAATCTCAGAGGTAATCATGAAGGCAGCCCTTTAAACTGTGTCTATTACAGGAACAAGACATTTTTAATGAGAGATGAATGAAGGCAGCAGCTTGCTTGAGTCACCCTTGCTTTGCCTTTAATGATGCCAAGCCATACATTTTTCTGCAATATTGATTCAGTGATTTCTATAAATGCGAGCTGATGCCCGCACATAAATAAGACAGGATCAGCCCCTACACAAAGATGGCAAGGCCCAGCTCGCAGAGCAGAGCAGCCCCCAGCTCCCTGGCTTGCATGCATGAGGGATAGCATTTACATTGTATGAAATGGCTCTTAAATGGGCACAATATTGTAATGCAGCAAATGCCGTATTAATATCGATTTGAACATCAGATCATTTCTTTAGAGGGTGTCATTGCTATGCAGACTGGTCAGATGCAGCTGTGTACTTTGACAGCCCCCTCCTAACAAATGCAGCCATGCAGTTCTGAAGGGAGCCCTTCCGTAGAGAATCACAGACATAACGATAATAGAGACGTTTCCAGCATATTGTTTATTATCTTCCCATATAATCTCCTTCCATCAGATAGGGCTAGGTTAGAACACATACAGTGTATTGTGATAGGAGGCATTGCAGCAGTGTGGGTAATGAATGTGCTGTTTACAAGGACATCATAAACATTCACTTGTTAAGAACTCCTCTGACTACTTGGGACATGGGGTCTGAATTACAAAATGTGTCATTTATAAGTCAGTCAAGCGGACCTGTGCCTCCTTTTAAAAAAAACGCCCCAGTCGTTTCATTAACACTGTCTGGTATTTTAAATTATTGGATGCTTGCAACGAAGACAGGTCCGCTTGCTCAGCGTAATAAACCCCCCTCTTTAGTAAATCAGCTCCACTGTAATTGTATGTGGAAGATGAACACAGGGCATTTATTTATATCACTATTCAAATCAATCACGAAGACGCTAGATCTACAAGGACTGGATGCTTTATGCTCTTGAATAATTGGACTTGGATTTACCAGTCAATCCTCGTTGCATTTTTTTCCCCCTATGTTGAAAATTCTCCTCCCCCACTCATACGCACTACAACTTTACAGCAACTTGTTTTGATTGCTAGTCGATTGGGAATTTTAGTGAGAGACCCCCTCCCACAACCCATCCACCACCAGGCTCAAGTGATGAAAACACCATTTTGCAGCATAATTTAAAAACGACTTTAGTAGGGTCTAACTATTTAAAGCTGGCACAAAGCTCCCTGTTTGTGGTTTTCACATGGAGTCTCAGGAAAGTAGTTTCAACCTTTTGTACATTGGACTCCATCCAAGGGGTTAGGTCATGACCCGTGTTTCCCCTTAAACGTTATTAATTTATGGAGCTCACATATTACTTAACTCTTTCTGCTCCCATGCTGCGTAAAGAGCTGCAGGGGAGAGATGTAAAAAAAAATAATCAAGAAATAGATTAATACTGATTACAGCCATGTCATAAAACAGATCAACTAAAATGAGAGAAAAAGAAACATGTTATACGTTTCTGTGTCAGAATGAAAGGTAACAATTTCCTGGCAGTTGTTACAAATAGGACATCATTTAGCTGGCTTGTCATCTATAACATTGTTTCTATTTCAAGTGGAACTTGAATCTAAATAGAAGACTTTCTCTTAGATGTCCCTCCTGCTGTGGAGCAGGGACTGTGTATCCCCC